GCAAAATTTATTTGCAGTCTGGATCTAGACAGAAACTGCCATTTGGTAGTCCTCGAATGACCCCGTCCTGGAATGCTACAGCTGTAGGTAAAAGCCATCAATTTACAACCTTCTCCTTTTTGATTTTTTAGAAGCTGCTCATCTGGGGACAGAAATTTTCACCTCAGGTGTTTTTGATACAGCTGCTAAAATTTAGGTCAATTCTGTTTGCCAATAAGATATGGAGAGAGACTTTTCCTTCCTGGCTTCAAAAACATGGAGAATTTTTTTAAGTGTATTTTGGTATGCATAGTGATTATTAAGTCCTATAAGAAAATTAGATTCATGTAAATAAAACATTAAGACAATGGAAATATAATAATTCACTAAGACACTACAGAAATCTCTGCATATCTGTTCAAGCAAGTCACTATCATGCAAAAAAACCAACAGCTGCCTTCCATTTGCTGGCAGTATCACTAAAGGACTAAGATGCTAGTGATTAACTCAGTCTCAAATGATTTCACAAATATGGCAGTTCAGATCTTAAATAATATAGTAAATATGAATGTAATTTTGTTGATTCAGTGAGCATAATGAACTGCAGTTTAACATTCTTTATTGCTTGCAGACAAACTGCACTATTCATTCACCAAATATCTGATGGAGTCTTTAAAAGAAATGAGATAACCACTTCATTTTCTTAAAAACAATCAGAAATCTCAATTTTAAAAATCAAGTATATTATTTTTCAAATATTTTTTCTAGTAGAGATGAGATTAGATAGTTTTCATACAGCTAGGAAAAAAGATAAATATTGTATGTTTTAAATTTCATATTCCCAAAGCAGAACTTTAGATTACTAAATATTTCAGAAGCTATTTATTCTTAGTAGTCAGTTTGTATTTCTTTAAACCCGGGCAGAAAAGCAGGCATCCTTCATTTGTGATAGCTATTAGGAACTAGTAAACTCATTTACTATTGACTTATTTTCATGACTGATAGCAGAAAAATAGTCTCACCCTACACAAAGACACACACAATTAACAATCAGTTAAGTGATTTCCCTGGCTATTGCTTGGGAAAAGGCCCTACATGTCTGAGCTCTCTCACTCGCAAGCTCCAGTAACCCTTTCTAAGAAAACTGAAGAGGCTACAAGCTCAGGTGCTGACCCCAGCTTTCCACAGAACTTAATACCTTGTTAGTAGGAGCAGCAGAACAGCTGCTCAGCCCTGGCAGTTCACAGCCTCTGGGTTAGCAGAAACCTCATTGATTTGGGTTCCTGTTCCTCCACAGGGCCGCAGAACAGTTGCACTGCCAATGCTGTTGCCTGTACATTGGAGCAGCCATCTGATAGAGCTCTGGGCAGTTACGGGTGGTATCTGCTGCATTGTCTGGACTCTAATCCTCATCCAGGGCATTGAGGAAAAGAAACAGCCAAAAGACTGACAACTGAAAAATAATTCAAGTAGGGAAACACAGGTAGCGTAGCCCAAGGAGAAAGTTATTGGGCTAAAAATTAACCAAAAGACTTTCAGAAGCATAATGAAAGAAGAACTTATTTCTCGTTAATTCTCCTTCTGTTCAGGAAAGCATGATTTTCCACATAGGCATCATTGCTTCAAAGGAGCATGAATTCATGACCAGTTTCTTCATCCAGAAAAGGCAATCAAAAAAACCCTCCAGGGCTCAAAATTTTGGCTAAGCATTCAAGTTTAAAAAATGATAATATTATTTTGCTTGACATAGACTTATCTTTTTCTTCGGGTACATAAAACTTTGGCATAAGCATTATATTTTAAAATAGCTAAACTAACATTAGAAATCTATGTAAAGTCAATTAAGATCTTGAAGTTGAACAAAGAAATGTAATGGCTACATATTTTGTTTTAGAACTACTTTATTTGAGTCTTGTTACTTTTTTTTATTTATTTATTTACACATCTACCATATGTGAGCCAATGCATCAGTCAGGAACTTCACTTGATGTATAAAGGATTCAAGGTCTATGTAATGTTATAGAAAAAACAGTCTGGAGCTATAGTAGGTAGAAGTGGTTTGGAAATTGTATGGGATATTAAGTTAGAAAAACAACAGCAAACCATAGAAAAAACATATTTCACCCTAAAAGAACATGACCAGTAACATTCCTGAGTATTAATTTTCTGATAACTTTGGGCTGTTCTTGCAAAGTACGGTCTGATGTATTAAGAAAAACTGAACTTTGTGCTGGTCATGCTTAATATACTGTGCTGCAATCTGTAATAGTTCAACTCCTTCACAAGGAGCTGAGCTTTCCTTCCAGTGGGATCACCAACTCCTGAGAGAGGGATGAGAGGCACCCAAGGAAAGCCATCTTCTCTTGGCTATAGTGGTTCCCTGAATAAAATGCACCGCTGCAAAAGAAGGGTATTGGGTTGCTTAGTCTATAGGAAATTAACCCGTCAGCTGTCTGTGATCTCAGATATTTCAGCTGAGTGATACTGAGAGGAGGATGGAAGGAATTGGGCATATCTATGGCATCTATCTGTCCTTCATCTCTTACATCAACAGCAGTTTTATTGTGTCTTTTCTAGTCTTCAAGAACAAGGAAAAAATTTATTTCTAAGTATGCTTCCTAGAGATACATCTCCTTAAAAAATTATTTTCAAATCTAATTCTAATTACTCTGAAATTAAAATCTTATCTTGTTTAAAACTAAAATAATATGAACTTTAGGATATACTCATGACTTTTTTGTCTAACTTACAGTTAAAAAGGAACAAATTCAAATTTTCTTGATTGGCTCTTAAGTAATTATTTCCAAGTGGTTTTCAATGTGAGTATAATGGTTAAACAGAGGTAAGATAATCTCTCTACATATAGATATTAAAATGTAAGTATTTTAAGACTCAAGGAAATGCACACTTTGCCTCTGCACAACTAAATACATTTTTTAGACAAGAGAGACTGATGTCTGCAGTTGAAACAACAGTATTAAGAGAAATTCAGGCCAGGAAGAACGGATCTAGTCTAAAGCCCCCTGAAATCAATGAGAGGCTTTGCTTTAACTCCTCTAGGCTTTGGCTCCAGCCCCAAGTAATTATTCAAGTTGGACTTTGGCCACTGATACTAACACCATCTGCTTACAGGAAAGTACCATAAAATCTTTAATTAACACAAATCGTGAGCACCTCAGTTCTATGTCTTATCTAAAAAATGGCACCTTTGAGAGTGCAGTGTTGATGCGTACCTTGCTGAGGACCTCATTCCCTGCCATCTCACGGGGAAGTGTGTCATCTACTGAGTTGCCTGCACTACCTTTTCCAAATATGGCCAAGTTTCAAAGCCATTGATTTTCCAGTTGAAATTCATATGCAAACCAGGTTTTATTTTTATTGATGGTGTTGGATAAAAGTAATAAATATGCAGCAAATACATGGAAAGGGAGAAGTAAGCGGGTTTTGTTTGTTAAAATAAAATTTTAAAAGAACAAAATAGAACACATAAAAGGGAAAAAAGAATATGACGTGTGTAACATACCTATCTAGAGAGCAGGATAGTCTTACAGTTCAGGATTGGATTTCTCCCTATTTTTCTATTTTTACCTTTTCACAAAATCACTGAGGTAAAGCATTTAACATTTCTCTTCCTCAATTTCCCCGTCTGTGAAATGGTATTAATGCCAGTTGATCTGGCAGGAATTTGCCATCCTAAAATACTGCTTTGAAGTGTTCGAAGGGGAGACTGTATATCAAGCTACAAAGCCTTGGCATTATTGCATACCATCTTACGGCCTGGCTAGTCCCACATACTGTGCAAGACTTGCTTTTTTACACACCATTGTCATTAAGCACCAACTTTGCAGCACAGGCCACTTCATTGAGAGTGAATAAGGCACAGTCCCTTTTGTACCTATAACTCACATTTTCAAGCCAAAAATGAAAAAGATGTGTCTGTCACCAGACGATGAGTGTGTCTGGAGGACTTAAATATTGTTTCCTTATTGTAGGGATTAATGAAGTGCTGGCCTGGGCCCTGCACAGCACTTAAGGACATGTTTAACTTTAAGAATCTGAGTAGACTGATGGATTTCCATGGGAATACTGATGAGCTTAAAGTATGTGTTGTTGCAATGAAGTCATATCCTTCAGGATCGTGTGGGGTCACACTACTTTTGTTTGTGAAAGTGAAGGAACACTCTCAGATGTTACTCCTTCTACAGGGAATCTCCTGGTTGTTCAAGACAGGGATCCTCAAACATCTCACCCTCCCGATTTCTCAGCCCAGACTCATATATGTGGTCTGTCTGCAATAAACAGGATCAAGATCTGTACTGGTGTTCTGAAATTAATTGTTTTCGTGTTCTGAGCCAAAAATAAATTCAATAAATCATTAGTCTGAATAACTGACTTCAGTAACACTGATTTTTCTTCTTCTTTCCAATAATTATATCTAGCAACTTTTATGTACGTAGATACGAAAATCATGAAATAATTCTCTGCCAAGAAAAAAACCCTTAAGCAAACAGCTCCCTTGCCCCAAGCCCCTAGGCAGCTCAAAAGGCAGTACTTCATGGAGGAAGGGCACAAGCTCTTTCCTTCCGGAATTCTGTATTGCTGTCTTAGGTGAGCATCTGTCTCAGATCACAACATTGAACAAGCTTGTCCACCTCCATGTGCCATCTCTGGGGTATTCTTTGGCAACTTCCCAGATACAGCTTGAGTCAGGGGCAACACCTGCAGCTGCACAGACATTTGCACTCAGAAGGAATGTGCTGTGTTCACCTCTCGGTAGACAGGATGCTCTGTTTAGCTATTTGCATCATGACTTACTTCTGCTGGTGCCTACTCTGCCATCTGTCTGAAAGTTTCATAATAGTTCTTTATTAGAATTTACCAAATGCACTCACTGTGTAAGGACCATAGCACAGTTATTACTGTATATGTTTAAAAGGAATACAATGTGCAAAAGGACTTCCTTGATACAGAAATGCTTGATTGCTGTTGGAACTTACGTTATCACGTTTTTTGTTTTGCAGTTTTACTAAAGAATGCAAAAAAGGAGGAAGAAAAGCCTTTCAGAGACTGTGCAGATGTATACCAATCTGGTTTTAACAAAAGTGGGGTCTATACTATTTATATTAACAATGTGTCGGATCCTAAAAAGGTAAAGTAAATATTTGTTTTATTTTCTTATTTGTTAATATGATGTTGCTCTGACCTTAAAGGAGCATTTGGAGCCTTTATTGAAGATCTCATTCTGCAAAATGCTGTACTGATAAATAAGCTGGGCTATATTCAGTCTTGAAAAAAATACAGTAGAGGGAAGAAAATTATAAACTGCATTATTCCAGACATTATTCTTTCTCGCTGACAGAGAATATTTCCTATGTTCCAACATACATTCAATAGTTGACTCACTTCCTCCCACTTGGCCAGTTCAGTTGAATCAGACTATGGCTGCAAATAAATCTGTGATAAAGTTTAGAAGAGAATTAGTAAAGTGCTATAATGAGGAAGTTGATGGGTGGATTATCTGGTAGCAGAGGGAAAGAAATAGCAGAATGAGTAGTTTTTAAAGATAAAGATATACAAAAATCCTGCTTCTTTTGTAGGGAGCAAGGAAGAGTTTTTTTGCCTGTAAAGAACACAATATGCTGAATATTATCACTATTTGAAATGATGAAGCATGTATAATTCTGTTCTCCTCAAAAAAAGACCTTTGGGAGGTTTTTTTGATGAAAATAAAACATTAGTCTGTAAAGGAGTCTGATTTTTTTGAAGGCTTTTGGTGCTAAGGTACCTGAGTCAGTTGAAGCTAGGAACATGAGCTAATAACCTAAGCCTAACTTATACGTGGAGGAATGCTGGCTGTCCCTCTGACCAGGCACTACTGAGAACAGCCCTCAACAAGGCTAAGAGCTGATTACCTGGGAGAGGAAAATACAGTGGTGTCCAGAAAGTTGGCCAAACAGGAGGGAGGGAACCACATGTGTTTGGAGAATTTATTCCTACTTCAGTAAAATAGTGACCCTGCAAACAGGAAAAGGCAATAACAAATATTACCAATGTTATTGTCTATAGTCATTTTATGATGATATAAAGTATGTAAAACTTATTTCCAAACTGAATTTGGTTTTATTAGAGGCCTTTGGAAGCCTGCAGATGTCAAGATGTTAAAGTTTACGAAGAAATTAGAGCTCATTAAACCATGAGTAGAGTTGGGGTCGGCGAGTACTATAGGCAAAGATCAATATAACTCGTGAATGTGAATGGAAAAATAATGGTCATGACATAAAATACATACACCCCTTTAAGCATTACTGAACAGGACAAGAACAATAAAAGCAGTTCCCTAGAAGCTGTTCAACTCAAAACAGAGATGTAACATCAAAGTCCAAATTGCATGTACAAATTGTCAGTGGCTTTTTTTAGACTTATTAAAGTTCATAAACCATCCCCAGAAGCTGGGTTGCAAGGAAAAACAGTGGTTACCTGAAAGCACTGTGGCACTGATATTTCTGGTATATTTACCTTAATCCCACTTCACTGGTAATACAAGGACAGTGACACTATGGAAGCCATCCTGTGTTTCCGCTGTATCCCTGTTTGCAGACACTGCAACCAAGCACTACAGGCAGCACGACTCAGCTGATATCATTGCATTATTTTTCCTGGAGGCTTCTTGTTTTAGCAAGAACATTGCAGGGGCAGCAGGGGGGGGAGAGAGAGAGAGAGAGAGAGTGTTAAGGGCATTTCTGCTACCACCTGTTTCTGTCTTGCCCTAGCGATAACACAGCAAGAGCTGATCCCAGGCATGTGAGGAGTGTGATTGCTTTAACAGGTGTTTTTTCAGACATTAAGGTTGTGTTAACAGTCTGCAAGGTAGTGCTGTGCAGAGATAGCTGAACTAACTCCAGCTGAGATAGCTTCAAAATCACATCAATGCAGCACTGTGCCAGGACTAATTAGCCCAGAGGCAGCACCACGCTGACACAGTTAGATCATTCTGGGACCCAAGGTAATATCCTGATAGGTACTCCATGGAGACATACCTGCTTGTTTAAAGCCAGCTTAGTTATCTGGATTACCACAATACAATGTACAACTCTGACATGTCTTAAGAGGCCTAATATATTGTTACCTTCTGTAATACTTGCAGCCACTGGCAACTGTCTCATTTATAGTAATATTATACTTCAGGTCACAAAAATATACCTTCATTTAATTTTATATTTCCTAAGGGATACTTACTAGAATCCTGACATTCAATAAAAAATATCTCTTTGTCATATATACAAATCTTACTGTCAGTTCTAGTTTTTTGCTGGTTTTACCTTCATATATTCATAGAAATTTATCCTCCATGCTTACAGCTCCATATCATTTGTATGCCTCATTTTTATATGCTTACATATTTAGATTGCAATTTTTCTTTCATGTTCCTAGCTTCAGCAGTTCATTAGTTTAGTTCATTAGTCTTCCAAACCTGCATCAAAAATCAGTGATTAATTTCTGTTTAAAAGGATCTTAATAATATTCCATATTTTTGAGATGGGAAGAGAAAAAGAGAGGCTAAAAGTATTAAGCTAATTAATTGGCTTACTTTGATGTGTGTGTGTGTGTACAATGCCTGATGGTGTTGACAAATGATTGTCCATAGGCTATAGTGAAAGCAAAGGCAAGAAGAGTCCTCTCAGTCCCCTGCAGAGGTGGGGTCAGCTACAGGGGAAGCAGAGGCTGCTGATGAGCAAAGGAGCAGTGGGAGTGAGGTTGTCACCGTTTTGGAGCTAAAGGAACCATGTCACCTTCAGCAGCTGAAGTAGGCCAGGGGGACTGGTCTGAGTGCACACAGAACCTCCAGATCTCCCCTTGGATCAATGTATTGGACTCTCTTACTGTCTCCTCTAATGCCTTCACAAGCATGACTTCTACCAAATTCTGGGTGCACGGCACTGAAAATGTAATGTTATTAATTGCTAGTGGGGTCTATATATCTGGGTCTTTATGGCTCTGCAAAAGCAATTGCCACTGTTGCCATGAATGCAGCCTTCACTCCTTCCCCTCTACATTCTGCCTGCGGACTTCCTACCAAACTGGTGTCGATGGTCTCTCTGAGCATATCTGCCAGAATTTTAACCCATTAAATGTATGCTAGCCCCATATACTGTGGAGACTGTTGTTACCTTCAGGCTTGTTTTCTGCATAGCAGATACACATTCCCTGAATCTCAAATGGCTGGTCTTAAGCTTGTTGCTCCATGCCAACAGTGTAGACTTGTGATGTCTTAGAGTGCATGCACTTAAAATGCAGTACGTGGTAATCCCCCTCCTTTTATTTACTTTAAAATTGGGCTGATCTCTAAATTATTATTATGAAGTTTATAATAATTTAGTCCATAAAGCTAAAATATGTATAAATAATCTCATACATGTCTTTTAGTAGCTTGAGTATTTTTACCTATGCATTTAAGGAAGGGCAAGAGTGCAATGCTTTGGATGCTCTTTTAATCTAAATCAAGTTATTTTATTTACAATAAACTCAAAATCTAAAGACGCATACAAATTCAAAGTCACTTTTCTTCATCCTTTTCTTTTCTGGTAGAGGGTTAAATATCAGAACATGCTAAAAGGTGTTTAATGGCTGAGTGCCCTGACCTTGTCTGGGACAGAAGCCAGTCCAGGACATTTGTTGGCTAGAGCTATGCACAATGAACATCTATAATCAGCTTGGCACTCCTGTTAATACAGCAGGTGTTTGTGTCTACCACCGTGGAAAGTGCCAGACCACACAAGGATGGCTAGCAAATAATGTGCTGCTGTAAATCTTTCTTTCACTGTGCAGTTTTCTCTTTTAATTTGGTATATTATTCGGAAAACATCAAAGTCTTTTATAGGTATTTTATTATATTTTAGTATCAAAACTCCATCATTTGTTTGTGCGCGTCTTTAAAATGACTAGTCTTAATACAGTTGAGGATTTAATGCTTTAAAAATTGGCAGTGGATTCATTGGAGCTTGAAATGACTTATAAGGAAAGTAAATCCATCATTTAGAAATTCTCACTGTAAATCAGACTAAAGAAATCCTGTAGATAAATGTGTTGTCTCACAGTGACTTCCCTGAAGGAGGAATAGGGCCAAAATGTTTGTCTATCAAATTGTGGGTTTTCTTGTGGTTACCCTAAATCAAGTTCACATGTTTGCACTGTTCAGTATTCTGTTTCCTTCCTGTACCTACACAGGGACTTCACTCGGCAAGCCTGGAGCAAACTAAAACAAAGGCACTTGCACAGGATTACTGTGACAATGCTTATGAGTAGCAAAGACATGGAACTGATTTGCCTGAGGGTGGAATATGGTTCTCTAGTCAACTGAGGGACGAATTTTTATTTAACTGAATTGGATAGTAACCTTCAATTTGACAAAGCAACTTAAAGCTTTAAATTACTGACCAGTGCTGAATGGATTGACTCTTGTTGATGTGAATGCCAAACGCTAAGCTAATGAGTGACACCTCTTCAACCCTCTCACATATTGACATCTTACTTAAAAAGAGGGATATAACTATTCAAGAACACAGACAAATGAAATCTAGGATAGTTGCAGTGCCAATATGGCACGGATGAGTACACAGGAATGAAAATCAGGAAAATTTGCTTGCGTGAGTAGCACTGAGAAACTTAGTCGGATCTCAAAATCAAGTGTTATACAAATATAGGAACAAAAATGAATACTTTCACTTGCCGCATATAAAAAAAAGTGAATGGATAAGCAGTATTTGCATTTTTTCATAATTTATCTTCTATATTTTTGAAAGGATAATGTAAGAGTGAAAAATGAATGAAAATTAAATATACATTTTGATTATTATACAGATTATTTAAGATTATTAACAGATTTCAGTTGACACAATATTCTAACATCAAGCTTCAGCAGTTGTCAAATTGTTAAATTATCCTTAATATACAGAATCTCAGTAACTAAGTTAGAATTTTATTAGTTCAATGATGGCATGGTATGATCTTACATGTTCAGTATAGGTCTTAACTTCTGAGTTTGTAGCACAGACCTCTGTTCCTATCTATGTCCTCTGTCAGCTGTAAGGCAGCTTAGATTGAGACCAACTGTTTCTGTTTTGGGACACTGCCTGGCACACTGTAGGTAACATTACAATACAAGGCAAAACAGAATAATCTCATCTGTGCTACATTTTGGACTACTTGAATGGATATTTTTTGTAAGAACTCCAGAAGATTCTTTCTTGGACAGAATGACACTCTGCTAAAAGCTATAGAAAACTATTATCACTGAAAAAAATACTCATTTGTTAAGAGGAAGGCAGTGATTTCAGCGGCACTGCAGAGAAAATAGAAAAGGAGCATGGAGGAAATGTGAAGAGGAGAGCTGAGGATGCGGTGGAGGATGATGGGCAGATGTTCTTGCTGAAAGAACAGGAGACATTACTGGGAGAATTACACTGAACGTAAGGAGAGTTCCAGTTGTAATCAAGTGATTGAGGATGCCATTGAGGGCAGAGGGCATGAGTCCATAGGAAAATAGGCTTCCTTAGTTCTGTTATTCACAAGTATTTTTTCCCCCTAAGATGATAAGATTCCAATGCAAGTTCGTTTTATTGTTTTTTGTTTTGTTTTGTTTTGTTTTTATTGCTGCATAGGTCTTTTGCAATATGGAAATTGCTGGAGGAGGATGGACGGTTATACAGCACCGAGAAGATGGGAGTCTGGATTTTCAAAAAAGCTGGAAAGAATACAAAATGGTAAGGTGAAAAGTGTGGAATAGCTGTAGAATTCATAGAAGCATTGAATTTCAAATAGTACTTCCTATTATGTTAAGCAGATAGTTCTCCCTATAGTGATGTGGTGTGGTCCTACAGTCTTTTAAGAGCTACCTTTTGTCATGTCTGTTACTTTCAAAAATCATAATATTCTCTTTACTCAGTTGACTATTATTTCCCATAACTTAGGGTTTCTTTCAGATCAGTTACTGAGATTAAAATGAGGTCAGGCCCAGACATATGCACTAAAGAATGTTGCTGTCTGTCCCTCTGAAGTTTTGACTTGCTGTGACGTGAAGGGGTAATAGGCATGTGATGATGTTCCTAATGCATGGATGTTTTCAGCTGAGGGGAACCCCTTCAGAACTTGGAGCATCTCAGATACGAATGAAAAGTTTTACTGGGGTTTATCCCAAGTCATACAACACCTTTGCCAATCAAACCAATGTACTGGAAATGTTGATACTTCGAATAGGATTAAAAGAAAATAAATAACTTACCAAATTACAGATGACATTACTTCAGCAGGCTATTTTCCCTTTGCCAACTCAAAAAAATTTTACTCCAATCTAAATAACTTCTGAGTTTTTTCATTCGCTGCCTGATCAGACTTTCTGATGGACCTCCTTTCTCTGAGTCCCTGAGGACTGGCTTGGATTTCAATGACATTCCCACTGAAGTTTTCAGAACTGTGTTATCAGCCTGGAAGAGGAAAATCTTTTTTCCAACAGTTTTCAAAAAGCACTAAATGAAGAGAACATTTAAAATGTTTAAAAATAAAAGCAAGTTCAGTTCAGTAAAAATTTCTATGGGAAAAAGTTCTGTTACAGAACTTACCATTTTGGAAATAAATGTAATATCAGGTTAATGAAACAAAATGTCATTTTGGATTTTATGGATGCTTTTTTTTTCAATGTTTTTAAATTACTTGTAAATATAAATTATAGGGGTAAAAGCTAACCATTTGGGTCAGACTTCTGCTAGTATGGATAACCAGAGAATGTAATCTGTTTCATAATATATGTGAAGTAAAAATAATATTAAAATGACAACTGGATATTTTTTAATGGATTTGCAAAATTGGACGCTTTTTTTAGAATTCATAAAGTTTTAATTTAGCAGGAAACTTGAAAACTGTTTTGCTCTATTTTGGTTCAGAGTCAAGTAAAATATAAAACATCAATTTATTTTGGGGGAACCAAAAATTGAAGATTCTACCACTTTTACTTATGAGAAAATTAGAGTTTGTATATGCAACCTAACTTGTTCTTTACATATGGGCTGTTTTAATTTATAAATTTATACATACTATATGAATTATTGAGATTTCCTCAGTTTTTCTTTCCTGTGCTTTTTCTTAGACCATTTAATAAAAACAGCCCTTCTTTTTATCATGTGACCTTTTTTTCCTATATATTCCTTTACTTAGTCAAACATTTTCCTCAAATTTTCCTTTATAATGGTGTGAGCCTCTTCAGGATTAGACTATGTTGGTTTTGTCTATTTCAAGCAGTCTGAATTAATTTTGATTCCCTTTAGGAATGCCATAGTCTTCTAAGAGATCATTTACTTATACCAAAAGAAAAGGATCTGTTTTGGACTTTTAGTGATAGCTAACCTATAAGTCATGAGAAAAGATGGGATTTAGGCTTGCTTTTGCTTCTATGAACCATTTCACCAAAGTAACTAGCTTAGTCTCCCTTCTGTGATTATCTTACATCACAAAATGTTGGATGATAGAGTCTGGTGGATGCTCTGTGGATTACTGGAATACATGACAGTGTCTGAGCTTCGAGGCACCACTAACTTAATTCCCTTATTGTTCAGAGAGGGTGCATGGTGTCTATTGGATCACACCCCCTCTCCTTCCTGATAGATCTACCTTGTGTTTCTTCCAATTTAAACTGGGTAGTGTGGTGGGGGACACAATGGTACTTGGTCTTGGAGTGGTTGAACTTAATATATGTTCTCTCAGCCCATAGTTCAGATACAGCTTTCCAGATTTGCTAAGACATTCTTGTTGTGCTTGTATCTCACTAGGGCCCCAAATCTGACAGAAATAAACAATATCATAATAATATAATAACAGCAATAATAAGTCTGTGGGGTTTCTTTTAGTTTCAATGCATTTAGTTCTTATTGGAAAAGAATCTGGAAAACTGTTGAAGTTATTCAGTTACAAGCAAGTACTGACTGCAAGCTTCTGAGCTGGACAGGGGCTCAGGCCACCAGCCAGCGGTACTGCTAGTGCCCTCACAAGTTATTGGCTGTTCCAGTTTTAGGAGGCCATTGCACATTTTCTCTGACTAAGCTGAGATCCTTACAGCAGGTAGCTTGGAAAAGGTGCACATGGAGTACTCTAGAGAACAAGATATGGAGGGTCTAGAGCACAAGTCTTATGAGGAGCGGCTGAGGGAGCTGGGGCTGTTTAGTCTGGAGAAGAGGAGGCTGAGGGGAGACCTTATTGCTCTCTACAACTACCTGAAAGGAGGCTGTAGTGAGGTGGGGGTCGTTCTCTGTAGAATGGCCTCAAGCTGCGCCAGGGGAAGTTTAGGTTGGATATTAGGAAAAACTTCTTCACCGAAAGGGTAGTCAGGCATTGGAACAGGCCGCCCAGGGAAGCGGTTGAGTCTCCATCCCTGGAGGTATTTAAAAGACGGGTAGATGTGGTGCTTGAGGACATGGTTTAGTGGTGGGCTTGGCAGTGTTTTAGGTTTATGGTTTGACTCAATGATCTTAAGGGTCTTTTACAAACTTAACAATTCTATGATTCTATGATACTCTCTGCAGAGGTGAGTGACAGCACTGCTGGGTTACAGGAGTCACCTGGCAACAACTTACCCTGCAGACAAACTTTGAGGCAATCATTGTCTTTGATCCAGTTTCATGCTGGTGTCTTCAGCTTACATGGACGTACTTCAGTTCCTGTTCTATATCGTTTCCAGACACCAACACAGGAAACAGGCTAAGAGAGAGAGAAAGTAGCCATAAATCTTTTGAAAGTAGGAAATATGCAACTCATCCATACATAGATTGCCACAAAGTCTGTGATACTACAGTAATAGAGGTTTTTCTAACTAACTTTTTCTCCTTGTTCTTTTGGTTCCATTTCCATTCGTGTCCAATCTCCACTCTGGAAAATAAAATTACACTGTCTTTGGTGTCTAACAAAATCAGTGATGAATACAAAACCTTTTACACAGATTTATTGTTATGTAAGATTGGTCATTCCATATTCTTCCTTAGTGGCATACGTGCCTACCAGTATCATTCAGTTTTGTTATTAGTCTTATGCCATGCAGTTTAATTTGTGCCTTCTAAGAACTCATTTCTGACTATGAAATCTGTTGGGCCATTTCAGTTTTGTACATTTAACACTAAATGGAAGAAATTCAGGGAAACCCTGTGGCTTCATCCTCCCATCCTTTTCTTATAAGTATCTACTACATCTGTTCTTTCACATTTTGCGATGGCTTTTCCATTATACTGTTTGTTGCTTATCAGAAAAATCTTAATTGGAGCAACAAATAATTTCTTTAACAACAGCAGCTAAGATCACCCTGAAGCAGGTTTCAACCATTTTTCATATTTCCTTGCCTGAGGAGGGAATGTAAAACATTATTAAAATTTTGATGTCTAGAAGGAGAATATAATTTAAAAAACTATTGCTTACCATCTGCAAACCTGAACCACTTTTAGAAAAGAGGTTTCCACAAGCTTACTTTGTAAGACACAGTTTCTGGCATTTATTAGGCAGTCATTAACAATAATCAAATCCAAGCAAATGATTAGCTCATGCACTAACTTGGCTATCAAGACTTGCTCAAATTTCAGCTTTTCAGTTCTTGGATGAATGCACCTTTCCCAGTCACTGTCTCCATTTTTGCCAAATTAGGTGATGGAGTATTAGATTCCTTATCCTCTAGCTTTTTAGCATGTCTAGTTTAATAATTTCCATGAATTTCACAGAAGTTATTCCACGCTCAAGAGCCCAACATTCACGATCATTTTCCTAGGGGGGCTTCTTGGGGGTCAAGTCTACTGGGGGCTTCCTCAGACCTTTAAAATTATTTTATTGCTTTCTGTCATTGGAGAAAGACTCTCAATAGGTATTTGAAATTACGTGCCTTGGCCAGCCCACAACAATCCTTTTCCTAGCGAGATTTTTTTCCTGCCTGTCAGTATTTAATTGTACTGCATGCCTTTATTGCTACAGTATTGTGATTTTCCTTTCTCTGATGAAAGCAAGCTATCACTTTTTTAAGCATTCATAATGTCATGAGCTAGATTAGGATCACTTGTACATATTAGACTCACATCTGAATTTCTAAGCTTTATGGCAACCACCTCCTATCTTCCTGACCAGCAGCTGGTTTTTCTTTTGGTTCTGTGAGGCAAGAATGAAGTTCAGTGGTAAATTCCGCACCCCCTTAATCTCATGTTCCTGATTAACATCTAGGAATCCAACACCAGTTCAGTGCTTAAAACAAGTCTGCTGCCAACTTATCTCAGAAGTCATCACTAGCAGTTCTGTGTGCCTGAAAAGCACATCTACAAAACTACTTCCATTTCTGTTGGAGTTTCTTCTTTTTCTTTTCTCCTTAAAGCTGGTGGGCCAAATTGATGGCTAGCTCCATAATGCCAATATGATATGATGCCAGAGCAGGATAATTTATGCTTTTCCAAGGCTTAAATTCTGCAGCACACTGAGAGCCGGGACACAGAGATGGTTACAAGAACTTTCTCAGGAAGTATTTCCGGATGATGTTATAGGAGGCATTTACATTATGTTATCTGGAATAATCTGACTTTCCTCTGAGCCTCAGTAAATTATAACTAGTGTAACAAGTCTGGTGATCCATATCTCCTGTTTACTTAAAAGACAGCTGAATACCTCTTCAGACTGTAAGTCTGATTTCCTTCTAGGCATGATGTTTTTTACCCTTTTTGATATACTTCCTACAATTCACCTCTGTGAGTAA